ATTTTCTGTGCATATTGCACAGTAATTGTTAATTTTTGTGCACGTACACAACGAATTTTTAACACTGATCATGCCCAAAAAAATCGAATCATCCAAACTATGCCAAAGTTGGCCAAATAGGGTAGCACAAAGTACGAATAATTAGCATTCTTATGATTCTAATATGGATAGTGCATATTATAAAAAAATAACAATTTGTCCAAAGTTCCAAATTTTAACGTTAAGATTTTTATTATTTATTTAGGTTGAGTTAAACTTGACCCGAGTCAAAATGACACCCAGCAGAATTTTAGGGTTAGTGCGGGCCAGAATTATGTTGATGTCGGCCGGGTTTTTTAATTGATTAATTTGATCCGGGTCAAGTTTGACTCAACCTAAAACCAATTTGACTCGTAACAATTGAGTATGTGATGTCAGCTAAATTTTTTTTATGGCTGTTATAACAATATGATTACAATATATATATATATATATATATATATATATATTAAATTTTGCGAAATTTTTATATAATTTAAAATTATTTAACGTTAACATTAGCGTTAGTAAATTACATAAATCAAGGATATAACTTGATCTTATACAAATATTTTTTAAGATAAAATTTTTATAATTTTTATATATATTTAATGTATATTTAGTATTATTTATACGCAACTGCAGAATCCGCAAATTTAAATGTAATACTGTAATATATAGCAACAGAATTTTTCGGTTAGTGCAATAGCATCCTGGACACTCCAACCCGGAAATTTGTGACCTACTGTATGATTTCCCTATCATAGGATTCACTGTTGGCACAGCCATGAAATAATATCTTAAATTTTATTGGATCAAGGTACGTAGCTCTCTAAGACAGAATGTATCCTTTCTTGGATAAAGTTTTTTAAATCCATATATTTAATAAAGATATAAATTTATGTATCAGTTTTCATAACAGAATTGAAATAATATGTAACTCCGGCTTTTTATTAAATTTCTAAAAAAGGAATCATCTAAAGCCTTGTACTATTTTATATATATCATTCACGTGCTCCTTAATTTACTAATTGGCAATTTGTTTAGGATCTTTTTCTAGTTCGTGATCTTTGTGTTTTTCGTCAATCACCTCTCTTTTTTGTTTGCTAGACATACTGAAAAGTGGGAATTTTCCTCCCAGGAAGGCAATATCTATAAAAAAAAAGGCAAAATTTTAATGAATGATCCGAGAAAATTTTAAAAAGTGACTAGAGAGTTTTATATTAAATTACCAAAATAAGTTGAATTTGATTTATTTTTCTTTTCAAACTCTAATTCTTGTTTTATCATTTTTGCCTTTGCATTAATTTCATCATCATCATTGTCGATTTTTTTCCCTACAGTTGTAAATGTAGCTTTTTTGACTTCGGTATCAGGCTTCACTTTAATATTAATAGACATGATTTTAAAGTCAAAAACGACGCCAATTCTGAAATTAAGTATCTAATAAACATAAATAAATCAAAGGTAAATACAATGCAACGTACAAAAAAAAAAAAACAAAAAGACAGTAGACAAAATACCAATAGAAACAGAGATTGAAAAGCTAAGAAAATAAGGTGCATAAAAAGAATAAAGCAATATACGGGACATAAGGCCTAACAAAAAAAAAAAAAAGGCTTAATAACTTCATCAACGAAAAAATAACAATCAATGAAATACTTGCAAATGAAACTAACTACTGTGATGCCACATTGAATGAAAAATACAAGCAAGTGAAAACGAGGTGAGTTCGGGTCTAATTTTTGATTGTCCATCTAAAAACAAAAAGAGATTAAAATAAGGTGCAATAAACAAGATAAAATAAAATAATTAAAAAAATAAACTAACCGTTAAAAAGTTGTCAAAAATTTTTTTTTTTTAGATACAAATAATATTTTTAAAGTACGAAAAATTTGTTCAAAGAATTCTGAATAACTTTGTTTATGCAAGACGCTGATATATATATGACATGTAAAGACAGAGATGATAATGATGAAAATTAATCGTTAATTGTCAATTTAACTAGAATCGACTCCTAATTCTCGGCTCTGCATGAAATACGTAATACAAACTTAAAATTCTACTTAGGGTTTCAGATTCATATAGTTTTGATCACATGATATAAAATTATTACGCATTCAAAATTCTATAAACATCAAGCTTCTTTAGAGATTACGTGATTGCAATTGCTAAAAATCATTTCCCTGACACTAATTCTTATCCACTAACCATAAACTAGACAAACCTAACTCTTCATACTAACCTTATAAGTGCAATAATCATTATTAATAAAATTAATGTCACAGGCAAAGCGCGATAAATATCACATGTCAAAGATATACATACACACTAAACTTATGAGCTTTTATGTAGTACAACAAATTATCGTTATCGTTATCGT